TCCTGACCCACCTGCTGCTCCCTTCAGCAGTGTACTTGTCAATTGGTCTGTTCTGCTCCCCACTCTGTCTCTCATGAATCCTCTCACCACCCCTGCACCTCTGGCCTGGACCTTAGTTCTGTATGTATAAATAAATCTTAAAAAAAATAAATAAAGGTTATCAGTACCTCAACTCTGTAATAATGCCATCTTTTTTATTTCATTCGTATATATAAAGTTTAACTTCTACCCTCGGTGACTTAAATTAAGAAAAATGTTGAGTACTGGTATAAAGTATAAATCTTTATCTCCTCACAAACATGCCAGAATTCAATTATGTATTACTCTACTACCTGCATATACAGCACCATAACCTATTAAATCTTAGCAGTTTAAAAAAAATTCATCTCCAATCAGATCCCCTTCCACAGACATCATAATCACTAACCCCATATATTCTGTGGTGAATTAAGGATAGTCATGAATAGTTTGCCAATCTTCCCATGGAGTCAGTCCATTACCTCTGAATCTGGACTAAGCTTATAACTTGCTTTGACCAAAGAATGTGACAGAAGTTAATACTATGCTTGTTCCAGAATTAATCCTTAAGAAGGCTGCTATACTCTTGGTATATAGTTGTCATATAAGCTTAGGGTAGAGGGCCACCTGGTGGTCTAGGGGTTAAATCTCAGTACTATCACTGCTACAGCCTGAGTTCAATCCCCAGCCAGGAAGGTGACCCACATATGGTGCAGCAGACCTTTCTAGTCTCCCCCACTGCTCCCTATGCAGTGCATTACAGTAGGTCTGTCTGTTCTGCTCCCTGCTCTGTCTCTGGTCAATCTTCTAACCTCCTATACATCTGGCTCTACACCCCAGTTCTATGCAAAAAAAAAAAAAAAAAAAGAGGCTTAGGGCAGAATACAGAATAATGATGAAGCATGTGGGGAAAAGTACTGGAGGATGAGACACCAGACAGAGGCCATATGGAGAACCAGGTCTTCTTGTAATGTCCCAGGCCTTCTTGTAAAACCCCCAGTTCAATGTCTCTGCATGAGTGATTCCACATGGACTAGATGACCTGCCCACTCAACCCACAAAATCATAAGACATAACACCTTGTTATAAGTCACCAAATTTTGAGAGGTTTGTTACACAAGAGATAAATGGTCATTTAGCAACCTAAGACTCAATTTTCTCTTAATAAAATACCTGAACTGTTTCTTTTTTTTCCTCATCTTTTTTCCCCCCACAGATCAGATTTCTCATTCTTTTTACATCATTTTGTGCATTTTTCCATCTCAGTTGTAATCCCATGGGCTTTCCATCACCAAATCACCCATGTGCCATCACCACAGTCCAGTGCATGAACTGTTTCTTTTTTATGCCAAAAGGCAGGAAGAGATTTTAAAAAGCTGCAAAGAGCAGTCCCAAAATAACAACAAAATCATTAAGTCTGCAAACTACCTATTATTTCTATTTCTATTTTCTATTGCTCATAGAAAGCATTTACACATGTCATTAATAATCCAGGGATAACTTGTATATATGATTAATCAGTTAAATACTAGGAAATAAATGAAAAGAGTAAAAACATGAAAAGACAGTTTAAACAAGAACAAACCTGCAACTCAAAGCAAGAAAACTTCTGCCTTGGAAATTACCCTCTTTATACATATTCTTGATGTATTTATTCCAAGACATGTTTTCAAAGAAAAGGTCAAAAAGCAATCTATCCTGATAATGATGAGAATTCAGAGGAAATTTAATGGTTACTCACTTTTCTCTTCCAAACAGCTTTACTTACTTTTGGTTCCAAATTTTTATTTAATTATACTGAATTAATATAATTTAGTGTAAAAGGTTTAAATTCTGTTATAATCACTGAACTATGAAGTCAGCATAATTTCTACCTGACTGGCTGTACAAAAATCATTTTTTTGAAAACAGGTGGAAGAAATCTCAAAGAGTAAGTGAGTACAACTAACTAAAGGTCATATTTACTAATCTAACACCAAAACTCCAGTCCTGCAATCTTCCATATGGCTAGAAGGAGGATAGGAAAAGGTAACAGTGCTGCAAAAGTGAGGAGCTGTTCTGAACTTCTAGGTCCATTTGTCCATTAAGGAAACACAGGGTCTAGCAAAGACGATAATCACTGAGACACAAAGTTAAAAGAAAAGATTTGGTTCAGATAGTAAAGGTGGCACTAAAATCAGTGCATTGAGAAGCCTGTTCTGAGGGTGACCTCCTGATCTTAGGGGCTTCTACTTGGTATCCAAGTCCTTTTTAATATCTTCGTTTTTTAGCTAGCTTTGGTACGTCACCAGTCTAAGCCAGATACATCTGAACTACATTTGCCCAAAGCAAATCCAAGGACGAACCACAGTGTCAGCAAGAGCCCAAACAACTTAAAAATCTATATTTACTATATATGTTTCAAGAGGGGTTAAAAAAAAGAGCGCTTTAGGAGCCTCCCTGGTGGCACAAGGGATTGAAGCGCAGCACTACGAAAGAAGCTGTTTGTAGCCACTGCAGCATGAGTTCAATTCCCAGCCAACGAAGGTCACCCACATGGCACAGCAGACCTCTCTTGTCTTGCCCACTGCTCCCCTCAGCATTGTTTCAGTCACTCGGCCTGTTCTGTTATCCTCTCACCCCTCCCACTTCTGGCCTGTACCCCAGTTCTTGTATGCATAAATAAATAAATCTATCTTTAAAAAAAGAAAAAGGCTTTAAAATAAACACCAGAAGCCTCCCTGGTAGCACAGGGTTAAAGTCTTAGCACAGCACTTTCATGCTACTGCCAGTCAGCCAGCCAACCACTGTGCCATGAGTTCAATTCCTGGTCAGGGAGCTAAACCCTATGGTGCAGCAGATCCCTTCTGTCTTGCCTCCTGCTCCCCTCAGCAGAGTATCTCAGTAGATCAGCTGTTTTGCTCCCCAGACTGTCTCTGGTGAATCCTCTCACCCATGCATCTCTGGCTTACACCCCAGTTCTTGTATGCATAAATAAAAACAAGCTTAAATAAATACTACCTGAATTGTCCTTTTAAAATGTATATTCTGGGCCCTCCCTGGTGGTGCAGCAGGTTAAAATGTATATTCTATTCTCCAGGATAACTTAAACTTGATCTAGTTCTCCTTTTTCCTGTTTACAATAAAGGTTTATGCAACCACAACAAGAATTCACATGCCAACTATACATGAAATCAAAGAAATGTATTTGATTTTACTTTTAATAGGGAGAAAAACAGTCTGTTTTTCTGAAGCTTCACTTCAGATTATTTCCCTTTCCTAATATTTGAGAAGGCCATGTAATAAACTATTAAGAACTCTGACAGTCATATTAATATAAATTAAATACTCAGTTAAAGTTTAAGTGGTCACTACTTATGCACATACTGAATACCTTTAAAATCAAGATAATTCACATAGGTATCCAAAAAGGCATGTTAACGGAAACTTGAAAAATCAGTATTTTCCTATTAAGTTATCCACTCATAGGTAAATAGAATACCTTCTGAAAAGAATCTTCATCTGTTATATCATAAACTAAAATGGCTCCATTTGAATCTCTGTAGTAAATCGGACCCAATGCATGGAATCTCTCTTGACCTGCTGTATCCTAAATAAAGCAACAAATGCTTATTAGATCAGAAGGAAAAAATACATACATATCTGATGTAGCAACTACAGTGAACGAATATTAATTGGTAAGTGGGAGATGAAGTCACAAATAACACCAAAATGGCAACTGAAGAAACATAATAGGTATAAATTTTTTTAATCAAATTATATCCAAAACTTAACATTTTTTACTGATATAATAGTTACTGCTCTTCTTCCATCCTCCCTCCTCCTCAATTTTCTCACATCAACTAAAAAAAAGCAATTCAGTTGCCAGTGGTTAAGAAGGCCATTATAAGGCATTACAAAGTAGGAACTGGCCTTGCCTAAAATTTAGGTTCCCCAAAGATAAACAAAAGAAAATGTATCCCCTAAGGCGGACAGAACATGAAGACACAGGGAAGAAAGGCCAGGCAGCCTAGTCACCCTCCCTATCCTTTCTCTGATATGGAATCCCTCAGAGATGAAAGCTTATGATAGAAAAATTCATGTATAATACAATTACATTCAAAAATGTAATTCTTATCTCCAGCTTAAAAGTTAGAGCAATATACATGTATATGTTTGTATTCAAGATAAAATTCTTAGTCAGATTTGATAAAAACAAATTTATTAACAAAAGTTTTGGTAACTGTCAATTAACTTTAAAAAGTTAAGAATTTAAATTTCTAACCCTTGAGCCAATTAAATACTGGAAATTACGAACAGGCAGGGGCTTTCCCTCACATGATGGAAAACATTAACTTACCCATATAGCCAGGTTTACTCTTTTCCCACCAATATTTAACTTCTTTGTTAGGAATGAGGCCTAAGAAAAGAAAAATACACATTAAACAATGCTTCATATAAAATAACATTTTTGGGTCCTTCCTGGTGTCACAACAGGTTAAAGAGTAGCACTATGAAGCTATCTGTAGCCACTGAAACAAAAGTTCAATCCCTGGCCAGGGAGGTGACCAACATAGTGTGGCAGACTTCTGTTTCATCCACTGTTCCCCTCAGCAGTATACTTCATCAATCTGCCTTTTCTGCTCCCCACTCTGTTTCTTGTGAATCCTCTCACCCCTCACATCTCTGGCCTATACCCCAGTTCTGAATGCATAAATAAATAAATCTTTTTTAAAAAAATAACATTTGTTATCCTAAATGCTATAGGTGAATGATTCACCTCAATATGAAACTCAAGTTATCTGGAAGAAAAAGTAATCACTAAGTTTCTGTTAATTACAACTATTTTCACTGAACACAGAATATTACTTACATTTATCTTAGAAAAAAGATAAATAAAAAGTTGATGTCTTATGGATAATTACAGAAAATATGAAGAAAAATTCATAATTATTTGTCATTTCTAATACTTTTTTCCCTATAAAAATTTTTCTCAGGGCGTTTAATTTGATGCCACCTTATCTAATTATAAAAATCTAAGAGATTTCTAAGATGAGATAAAAGAAATATTTACTGGTAGCTTACTTAACTATATGCATTTCAACATTATTTGAAATGTTCCTATAATTACTTTACAACTCAATAGTTGTAGATACAACTTATATCTAATAATGTCCCAGATGCTAAAGTCATATAAATAAAATCACTGCAGCATTCAGTCTACTGCAGAAGTAAGAATGCAAAGGCAATTAAAGTAACATATGATAATGGTTAAAATGGAGGGTCTTGCCAAGCATACTCTACGGAGAATACTGAGAAAGGATGTGTAAAGTCTGCTTGAATGAATCAAAGAATGCTGCAGACAGGTGACACAACTTTAGGAGTAGAAGGGGGTTTTCCTGACAGGTGGGTGAAGACACTGAAGACTGAAACACATGACCGCTGCCCAATGGGGAACTCCACAGTGGTATGGTCAATGCCAGAGATAAAATGATAAATCTAGGCAAAGGTTAAATGAATCAGTAAGGTCATAGAATTTGGTATCTAAAAGTATGGAATTTTATCTTGTGGCTTTTAATAAAACATTCTGAAACACTAGTCATTTATTTTGATGATGTATACTATAATCAGGCACAACAGTTTCCCCTCAACTGTGGTTCTGCTTTCTCTGTTTCAGTTATCTGCAATCAACCATGACCTGAAAATAATATAATCAGTAAGATATATTTTGAAAGAGACCGCATTCACACAAATTTCATCACAATGTTATAATTAATTCTATTCTATGATTGTTGTTAATCTCCTACTGTGCTTAACTTTTAAGTTAAATTTTATCATAGGGACATAGGGAAAAACAAGTCCTCAAATAACATCATTTGCTTTAACACCATTTAAACATCTAATGCAGAAAAACAAGCCCAGTCAACAATGAATGACATTAGTTGAGGCCTGCTTTCACTATACTGTCATTTCACTTAAAGGCACAGTTTCCAAGGATATTTGACAATGTTAAGACCTGCCTTACTATATGTAAGGTTCAGTACTAGTCATAATGACAGGCTCACTGAGGATCTAGGGACATAGTCCCCTCAGATAAGAGACTACTACTAAATACTTGGGAGATGCTGCATGTTGCTCTGTAATCCCTGTGTACATTCACAATGCATGTTAGCACACCAAGATCCTACAAAAAAGAAAGCTGGCTAAATGCATTTATACAAGCATTTCTCCAGCACATTTTACCTTTTTCCATCGAGAAATACCTAATTCACTCTAAAGAAAATAGTTAAGGGATATTATTAAAAAAGGGTATCACTTTCTGGTTTTAAAGCAGTGAAATATAAGAGCTATATTTTAACAGAATACTCTGGGTTAGAAGGAGAAATTGACCTAGAAAGGACAAGACTAGACATGGGAGATGGAAAGCTGCTACAAAGTTGAAGAGAAAAACAAAAAGGGCCTCCACTAAGTCCTTGAAGGGGTGTAATGGGGGGGAATAAAATCAGGAATAACTGAAGTGGGAACAAAATCAGAATCCAGAGACAGTTGAGATGGAAGAAAACTGAGTTCAAAGTTATGTAAAAGGTAAAGCAACCAAACAAAAAAAAATGAGTAGTAAATTATTATCAGAGAAGGAACACAGATTTTAAGAACTATTTCCTGGATACATACCAAAGAAAATTAGAAGAAAAGGTCACTGGATTTTGAGATTAATGAAGGAATCCACAGATAAATATAAATAGCAAAGCTCAAAACAAAGAATGTCTGCTCTCAAAGCCCAAATTATACTATTTAAGATTAAATGAAACATAGCTTATATAGAAAAGAGTAAACCATAAATTGCAATTTTACAAAAGAATGAATTGGAAAATGAGAAGACCAAGCATGTTCATAACGTGTTTGTTACACTGATAGAAGAGGGGTTAAATATCTGAACTAAGAAGCAGGTGACTGAATCTAAATCTCAAATTTGCCACTTAATAGTTGTATGTCTTGAACTCAACCACATTTATAGTTTCAATATCTGCTATTTAAAGAAACTCAAATATATATATTTTTAAAGATTTAGCTTTTATTTTTGCATACAAGAACTGGGGCTTAGGCCAGCGTTGCAGGGGATGAGAGGATTCACCAGAGACAGAGTAGGGAACAGAACAGGCTGACTGACTGAAATAACTGCTGAGGAGAGCAACAGAAGGGTCAGGAGAGGTTTGCCATGCCATGTGGGTCAGCTCCCTGACTGAGTGTCGAACCTGTGCTGCAGTGGCCGCAGATAGCTTCATAGTGCTGCGCTCTAACCCCTGCGCCCAAAATATGAATCTTAACCAAATAATGACAAGTCGACTTAAATAACTTCCTTCTCGCAAACAAATTCAAAAGTAAACTAAGCTTCCCTCATAAATTGGTTTTCCAGCCCAACTTTAGTGCTTTGGTTGCAGTCTCTTAAGTCATTAAGGTGTAGTATCTTAGAACTATCATCAGTAAATTTTCTTCCCCAATAATTCATATACATAAAAACGTAGACTGGAATTCTTCAGAGATGTTACCAGGGACTTATAAATTCCTTGGGAAAATGTATGGAAACTGCTTTTAATGTGCATATGAGCAGTTTTCTTGGGAGTGAGTGGGTTCATAGCTTTTATCACATTCTCAGAAGTCCATGGTCATCTCCCTCCCATTCTTACTACAATGTAACAGAATTAAAAGCCACTGCCGCAGAGTAAGAATTATAACCACAAATGTCATCTCAGTAGTCTAGCTAAGTTACATATGCCTATAGAGGTGATAAAAGACAGATTTTAGGGCCCTCCCTGGTGGCGCGGCGGGTTAGGGCACAGCACTAAGAAGCTGAGGCCACTTCCGCATGAGTTCGATCCCTGCCTGCCCCGGAAGTGATCCATCTGGCGTGGCAGACATCTCCTGGCCTGCCTGCTGCTCCCCTCAGCAGTGTACGTCATCAGTCAGCCTGTTCTGCTCCCCACTCTGTCTCTGGTGAAGCCTCTCACCGCCCCTGCACCCCAGTTCTGTACGCACAAATAAATAAATCTTAAAAAAAAAAAAAGATTTTAGTTGGTCAGTTGCTCCCTTGATAGTAAATCACTTCTTTCAGATGAAGGGATTGACGAAGTACACTGCTGAAGGGAGCAGCAGGCAAGACAGGAGAGGTCTGCTGAGCCATGTGGCTCACCTCCGGGGCGGGGATGGAACTCACACTGAAGCGGCTGGGGCTCGCTTGCAGTGCTGTGTCCTAACCCGCTGCACCACCAGGGAAGGCTCTCAGCTTTATTTTAAAGTGTAATTGTATTTGTGTTTTGAGCACATTTGCTCTTTATTAAAGTAACTAAAGTATAAAAAGTGGGTGTGTGCAATAATAATAGTATCTTTAACATCAACTGTGGGCAACACTATAGCTCCTCCTGTCCTTTCCACTAGAGAAGTGAAACATTATAGTCATTTCCGTCCCTAGAAAGAGGAGGGAACAGTGGCATTAAATAATATCAACTCATAAAGTTCTAGGAATATAAGAAAATAAATATTACATACTATGTGCCAACCACCGTGCTGTGGTTTCTCATTTAATCTCAATCACAACCCTGTGAAATAGGTAATTAACCATCTTACAGTTGTGAGGCTAAAATTTAAAGAAATTACGGTGACTCACAGAAGGTCAAATAATCCAGTCAAGGTGCTAGAACAGGTGAGAACCTCTGGACTCCACTGTGTCTTCCATTTTACAAAACTGACTAGTTTAGAACACACACTCATTCTTATATAGCATTCTCCATCAGGACATTAAGTGATCCTGAAAACCAACTCATCTCCCCAATTTTCTCAGGTTAGATACAAAGTAACAAGTATCCTACTTTATTCCCTTAGACCCCAAACTACAGCACTATTCCTTTAAATTTCAATGATTTAATCATCCCAAAGATTTATTTATTTACTTATGCATATAAGAACTGGTGTCTAAGTCAGAGATAAGGGGAATGAGAGGATTCACCAGAGACAGAACAGGTCTATCTACTGAAATACACTGCTGAAGGGAGGAGGGGATGAAATAGGGGAGGTCTCATGTGCCATGTGCCTTAGCTCCTTGGCTGGGAATCAAACTCGTGCCTCAGTGGCTAATCATAGCTTGAGAGTTCTGAGACCTCAACCCCTGGGCCACTTGGGAGGCCCCAAAATTGGTATCTTATTAGCTCATGCTAAGTGCTGTCATTTACCTGATATTTATTTACCCAACATCTTATTTGAAAACACAGTGGATTTTTTAAATTTCTATTAAAAACAATAGAATTGTAGGAAACCACTGAAACTTATCTGCCAAATGAGTCTTTTTACCACTTATGTAACCAATCTTTTGATTTTACTACTAGCGAGATTATTTGCTGTGTTTGTTAATAGCAAAATACCTAAAGC